AAAACTAAATTACAATTTATATTGTCCTTATCAAGATTTTGATCTATCTCTTGAAGATGATCACTTATTGGTGTTAAAAATACCGGTTTGTTGTTGGGATGGGAACTCCAGTAATTATTTATTAACTACAACAAAGGTTCCAAACAATGCATCACGAATTAAAAAAAAAATGTCAACTTGCAAATCACTAGTAGTGACATCATCGTATCAATTGATTGATTTCTAAAGCCGCACCGTCATGTTTTGTTCGAATCGATAGAGCGAAAGATTCGAAACACATGTGGTTGTCGTCTTTCGGTATGCAAGTTTAAATACATTTCCGATGTCCTAACACTCTTTCTATCGTATTAGTAATAATTTTGTATCATATCTCTTTTTTCTTCATTCGTGAAAGCCATTTCTCGCCAAAAATTCAATGACTTGTACGATAACAAAATGTCATTGAGTGTAACAAATTGAAAGTCAAATTTAGAAATATCAGTCAAAGCCTATTATGATAAGAATTATTTTTTTTCAATACCTCCAATTTTTCCAAAAAGAATCGTAACTTAGGATACATCATTGAAAAGGTTAAATCTGATTCCATTCAAAACAGAAGGAATCCAATGTAGTGCCCATAAGAAAAAATAAAGTTGATGATGGTGACCAGAAGACGAAACGTCGGATAGCAAATCTGAAAACACCATTATGTAGCAGGGAAAAAGTGGCAATGTGAAAGTGCAATTTATTTTCGAATCCTTGGATAAATGAAGCCAGAAGAAAATAAAAGCCAATTTCCGAAATTTCTGTTTTTTCCGGATATACTCGGAATTTCTGAACTTTCCCAACGGCATATTGTTAGTCAGGTAAATGCGCAACTTTGCCCCAATTTAACCATCTTCGTATCTCTCATAGTTTCCGAGGTCTCAATAGTGAGTATCGAATACACGTCATGGTGGTATGTTAAGGACACCTTCCCACAAAATAAATAAATTCAAAAAGTGTCGGATTAGGTTGATAATTCGTGACGATAATTCCCAATGTAAAATTTAGTGTCCGACCGAAAGTTCGGTTTCGGTCGAGTTTCAGCCAAAAAACGGGTTTCGGTTTGGTTTCGGTTTCGGGGGCAACCCTACCGAAACGACGACAGAAACCGAAACTGCATTCGGGAGTTCCCGCGCTGTGATCGGTTATGTTCGGTGCGTTGAATTTCATACATGCGAGGAAGACATTTTGCCGAGTCCACGTGCCTAATCATGTTATGAATCGGGACTTACTTTGTTTATTACATAAATATTAGGTACCTATTGTGATATTAGGTAAAAACTTGAATAAGTAATTTTATATTTAATATTTTTGAAAAACCATCAATAAAATTCAAAAGAAGGATCTACACCTTCTCAAATAAACACCTCACCATTTTAAGTATTTTCAAGGTGTAATTAATATTTTTTTCAAATAAGGCTTTGTTATGTTGATTATCAATAAGTAAAAATGTCGAAGACTGCATAACGTTGTGATTTAAAGATGAAAAAATTAGGACTGACTGATTGTTATAACGTTTTCTTTATTTTTCCCTCAAAACATAATCGTTATAAGGAAGTTTTGGTTTCGGCCGAAACTGAGACCGTTGCCGAAATTCGTTTTCGGTTTCGGTCGTAAAACCAGTTTCGGTCGGACACTAAAAATAATATATGTACTTGTTCCTTTTGAAATTGTGACATTTGTATACTATGTGATTTATGTTTTTATATTTATATTTTTAAATGTTTTATTCAAGTGTGACAAACTATTGTTTTCCTTCTTTATATGTACCTATTCCTATATTATATGCAATAATATCTCAATCAACCACATGCATAAAAGTGCAATGGTCGAAGAAAAAAAAGCCTTGGATTACAAGGGGTTTAATCACATCTATAAAAAAGCGTGATAAATTATTTATCAAACACGTTAAAAATCCACGTAATGAAGACTACAAAAAAGAATATATTGATTATAGAAATAAGATAAATAGTCTCCGAAAAAAAATAAAAACTGATTACTTTAAAAACCAAATAANCGGAGCGTCAATTAATTTTTATTGTTGTTTTTATTTTGTTTTTATCGTTGTTTCAAGATATAACATCTCAATCAACCACATGTATAAAAGTGCAAAGGTCGAAGAAAAAAATACAGTCATACATAAAGGGCGAACTTATTGAATTGAAAGATATTTGTAATGAAGTCAATGATTATTTTGCGGAAGTAGGACCAAAATTAGCTGCAAAAATACCTTATGAGAAAATCGAAGAAAGGGAAGTAAGACTTCCAAATTCTATGTATATGTCCAACACCGACCCAAATGAAGTTAGAGAAATCATAAGTAATTTGAAAGATAAAAAATCACCTGGTGTGGACGATATTTCGAATTAAATACTAAAAACATCATCTGAGTTCATTTCTCAACCAATTTCACATATACTCAATATGGCTATAGAGCAAGGCGTGTTTCTAAAACATCTGAAAGAGGCCAAGATTATTCCAGTCAATAACTAAGTGGTTCAGAGCAAATTTACTCAGTCATTTTAAAAAAAAATAAAGTACTTCCATTCACTTCGTACGAGTCATATTTACCAGAATATATAAATATAAACATCAACTCCAAAAATGTCAAGTTAGTTAAATCAGCAAAGTACTTAGGTATTCACATAGATAGCTTTCTCAGATGGAATATTCAAGTACATAATTTGAAAAATAAATTGAGAGGACTTCTATACAGGTTTCGCCAGCTCCGAAATATCAACCCTTATCAAATTGAAAATATTATACCACGCATTTGTAGAATCTATTCTACAATACGGTATAATTGGTTGGGGTGGTATAAATGCTACTGCGGTCGATCCACTAGAAATAATACAGAAGTGTATTTTGAAAATTATATATAACAAAAGCTCTCGTTATTCAACAGAACAACTCTATGAGGAATTGAAGATTTTAGATTTAAGGCAACTGTTTTCTAAAACATTTCTCCTGAAAAATAGAAATTACTTGAAAGACTTACCCCAAAATCGAATAACACGAGCTCAAAACTCTGCAGCAGTGTATATACCAAGAGGAAAAAAAACAATTGGTCAAAGATGCTTCACCTATATTGGAGCTAAACTTCGAAATCATGTTTCTGTCTCAGTTAAAACACTTAATAATATTGGTCTGATGAAGAAACGCATTGAAAATGGATCCTTAATCAAAGTAAACAATTTGTAAAAAACATTGTAGACCCAGCAAATTGATTAATTTCGTATTTACATATTTTTATTTTTTTCATTTCCTTTTCTTCTTGATTAGTTTCAATTTCCTCTTATAAGCTTACTAGAGAAATAAAAAAATTTTTTTTTCGCAATAACAAGATGTGAACTGATAAACTGATGAGGTAGAAAAATTATGAGTCTCATAAGACGAAACAAAGAGAACCATTTGTTTCCACAGACAGGTTCCATGTGAACATAAGTGGCAATCGTTTTTATTTGTACACTAAATATAAATGTACTTAGGATACCTTTATGCTTTTCAATAATCAATGAATCATTTCTAATATTTGGAATAACGCAATCGAGAAACGTGTAGGGTCAAGAGTTGTTGCAATTGATATTTCTAAGGCATTTCACCGTGTGTGGCATGAGGGTTTGCTGGCCAAACGTCGATGCTATGTCTTGTCGGATCATTTTTGTGAATGGCTCTCCAGCTTCCTGAAAGAACGTTTCCTGCAAGTGGCCGTCGATGGATATCTCTCGAATACTTTCACCATCAACGCTGGTATTCCCGAGGGATCTATATTGTCTCCAACCCTTTTTATTGTATATCAACGACTTATTGGAAAAAACGAAGAATCCAATATATTGCTTTGCTGACGACAGCACACTTGTCTAGACATTCCATTTGGATTCCAGAACATCGACTGCGGATGCACATTTCCACTGGCAATAGGAGGTTGCATATCCTAATGAGGATTTAGAAGTGATTTTGAATTGGGGTTAAACCGACCATGTTCAATTCAATGCCACAAAAACCCAGGCATCGGTGTTCTCTAAAAAGATGAATGTCTCCGAACCGGATATAATAATGTCATGATATACTATTCCGTTTTCTGCGTCGATAAGTTTGTTGGGGGTTAAAATGAACACCAATATGTCTCGGCACAATTATGTCTCTGGAATTGCAAAGGTTGCTTTTCGAAAGCTTGGAACACCGTTTCGATCCAGAAAACTGTACACACCTCAGCAACTTTTGATGCTTCATAAAGCTCAGATCGGACCTTCTTTGGAGTGTTGTTCTCATGTATGGAGCTGCTGGATTCCACCCAGAAAAGAGCCATTCGCCAGGTTGGAGACTTGAACCCTGATAGTCTGGAACATCGAAGAAAGGTTGGGGATTTGATTCTCTTCTATAGATATTTTCAGGGAAAGTGTTGAAGTGACGTGGCACATTTGATTCCACCAAGAGCGGTACATGTCACAAATTCGCGATGGAATGTAGTTGCTCACCGTTTTGAGGTTCAACTCAGTACACCTCTAATTTCAATGTTTAAGAACTCTTTCATTTGGAGAACTGCGTTTATGTGGAATAAACTTCCTGAGAACGTTTTTCCAAATGGAGTTTATCTCCAGTGATTCAAATCCAATATGAATCACTACTCTCGCATAGGCACCGCTTAGACCGCCCTAAGGAGTTTTCTCTAGTGCTTGTGTTTTATTGCTAAAAAAACCGTTGATGATCCTAAGTGAAAATCGTTAGCTACATTTATCATTTCATTTTCAATTTTTTCAGAATTTTCTGTCAGTTAAGAATTTATTCGTTAAACAAATTTATGTTTACACAAACGCCAAGCTACTATATTTCATAAAAACAAAGTTGCTGTCAGTCATTCCCACATATATGTAATTCTGATCAGGTATAGAAAAACCCTAGCTCAGACCTATTTTCTATATTTTTTCGACTTCATTTTAAAATTGACTATAAATAACCACTAATTTTCAGCCTGGATGTGTGAATACTACCGAAATTGATATAAAAAAAGCATGTCAGATAAACAAACCAATACATGGTGTTGAACAGCTACATGCAATAACCCAAAACATGTCTCCTTGTGCCTCTGGATTATCATCTATGAATTCGGTAGACCAACTGAGAAAACAAATTTTCCTTCTGAAATTACGAATAGATAGAAGAAATATCAAAATATCAAAAGCCTCAGAATCGTAAGTTTTGAAATGTATTAAGAATAATTCAAAAATATATTTTTTTTAGGTTTCTGGCGTATTATGAGCAATATTTAGATTATGACAGTTTCTTTGTGGCACCAGAGTATCCTAATCCATGGATATCTGACAGTACCGAATTATGGGAACAAGAAAAAATGGCAAAAGACATATCAGCCCGAAGAGTTAAGCGTTGGGCATTTAGCTTAAAAGAGTTACTGCAAGATTGCGTTGGAAGAGAGCATTTTATCCGATTTCTTGAAAAAGAGTTCAGCGGTGAAAATTTGAGGTAAAATAGTTTATTAATGTGTTTGTAGAATTCTGTGAATTCATATAATGCAACAAGAGTTATCAAGAGAACAAATATTTCTAATCACTCATGGCCGGAAGCCGAATAGAAACTATGGTTATCCGGGCTAGATAGCCGTGATCTCGTCCATAACTTGATATACTCGGTAATAATACCCTATGCTGTGTGTCAATGATATTTATAGAGAGGGGTATCGCGGAGGACTCCTCTGATTGACTCGGGTTGTGTTGGGTTTAGTCGGACATAGGTAGAAAACCATATACCATGTTTTGTCGATTCTCGTAATTTCCTCTTCTCTGTTGAAGTTGTTATGATGTTTGTGAATTTCTATGACTTCTGGGTTTAGACGCAGATATTGCTGGCGTGTGTTGAGTAGCACGTCTGTTTTATCAAAAGAGTGATACGATTTGATGGAACAGACATGCGTCACACTACACGCCGCTATTACACGCGTCTGAACCAAGAAGCTATAGAGTTTCACAAATATCGAAATAACTTTGATCAAAAAGAAGAAATCATAAGAATCGATAAAACACGGTATCTAGCTCAAAGCAATTATGTTGTGCTTCCAGCAGTGGTAGAAGCACCAGTAATGAGTGAAACACACATTGGATGACTCTGACTACTTAAACTCAACACTAATAAAAGTTATTCGTATGTTACTATGTGTTTTATTCAACTAGAAAGCTGGTCACAAGGTGAGTTGATGGTTACAACATTACAAATGTTTATATAGAAAAGCTATGACAGTTTCAAAGGCTAATAGATGCAATACGAGAAAAACTTTTATTAAGCTATGATAATTCTAGAGTAAAAATCATATTCATCAAAGGTATACTAAGTGACAAAGAAAGGTAAACACCCATTTGTATTGAAAATATTTCAGTAATGTTTTGCATGTTCATTTATGTTGAGGTCAGTGAAAATCAGTAAAATTTCAGCTATATCGTAAGCTACTCTGACCAGTTTTTCAACTGTTTTTTTTTGTGTGAGCATTTATCATTTCTGCAATTTTCATTCTTATTTGTGATTTTACTGTTGAAGAGTTTGTTGTTGAGTGTTTCGTATTGTTAACACTATACCTCGAGTAAAGACTTCGTCGTATTCCTCAACTTAGTGCTTTTGAGAGAGAACGAATTGTTGGCTTACGTGGGGCAGGTTTTTCAGTTGAAGAAATTTCATGAAGAACCAATCGATCTTTGCGTACTATTCTAAAATTTCATCAGGCATGGACCCAAGAAGGTCGAGCTAGGGACACCGGTTGTCGCAGGGAAACAACAGCGCGTGAGGATTGCCGATTAAGGTTTTTGGCTCTTAGAGATCGGTTCATTTCTACAAGCGCAATTGCGAATCACGGGTTTGAAGAACACAGAAGAGTTGTTGGAATGCGCACAGTATATCGCGAATAAGAAGTTCCGGACGTGTTCACCATACTGTTGGTTTAATGGTATGGGTTGCCATTGCACCCCATGCATGCGTTTATTCGTTATCGTTTCGTTGTCATTGTCATTTTTTCGTGTTTCAATATGATAGTAATCTATCACTTAACGCGTTTCGCCAACGAAGTAAGCATAATCAGGAGATGACTGAAGTCCATGATTTGTCGTATGGAGGTTCATTTTGAGAATTTTCGGACCCCCAAACAAAACCTTGTGAACACTCAGCCTAACTTATGAAATTGAATTCGGGAATGAGGGCGAATAATAATATAATAATGATAAAACACAAAAACCGTTGAAGGTGATCATCGGCGTGGGAGGTGGCGGCGTGGTAGAGAATGTGCGATGATTTGTGAAAATGAATGAGTTATCATAAAGAAAAAACAAAGATGGCGCAACTGTCAGAAGGGCACTAAGTTGTATATTCGCTAATAATGATCAGATAGTCCGTACAGCACGTGAAATAAAACGAGAAGAAATGCAGAATTCATCGACAGAGAAAAAACAAAGATGGCGCAACATGTCAGGAAGGCACTAAGCCACATCTTCGTTAATGACAGTTGGATCTTGACGTGGAGACCATCAAATGAAAGAAAATCTCATGCAGAATGTATTGGAAAAGAAAAAACAAAGACGGCGCAACATATCAAAAGAACATTAATCCACATCTTCGTTAATGATAGTTGGATCCTGCAGCATATTAAATCAAAGAGAAACGAATGCAGAATTTATCAACAGAGAAAACAAAAAGATGGTGCAAAATATCAGTAGGGCACTAAGCTGCATCTTCGTTAATAATTGCCGGATCGTCACGTACAGCACGTCAACTGAAAGGGAAAGAAATGCAGAATGATCGGCAAAGAAAAAACCAAGACGACGTAACATATCAGAAGGCACTAATTCACATCTTCGTTAATGATAGTTGGATCTCAACGTGCAACACATCAAATTGAAGAGAAACGAATGCAGAATTCATCGAATTTATCGACAGAGAAAACACTAAGGGCACACAGTAGGGCACTAAGCTGCTTCTTCGTTAATGATTGCCGGATTGTTATATACAGCACGTCAAATGAAAGGGAAAGAAATTCAGAATTCGTTGACAAAGAAAAAACAGAGATGATGCCAAGGGGGCATCTTCGTTAATAAACATTCACATCGTCGCGTTTAGCATATCAAATGAAAGGGGGAACGAATGTAGAATATATCGACAATGGAACAACAAACATGGCCGAAATATGTCAAAATGGCACTAAGTTGTATATTCGCTAATAATGATCAGATCGTCAAGACCACCACGTCAAATGAAAGGAAAATTCATGCATAATTGATCGACAAAGAAAACACAAAGATGATGCCAATAGGGCACTAGCTGCATCTTCGTTAATAATATTTGGATCCCAACGTGTAGCACATTAAATGAATGAAGGAGGGGTATAGCATTCATAAAGAGAACTCAAAGATAATGTTATGTCAAAAGGGCACTATTTGACATCTTCGCAGACAGATTATGATGTGAAGCACATGAAAGGGGCATGTATGTTGAAAGTGATAAAGAGACTTCATGGTGACATGTCAAATAGGCATAAGGTGTGCATGTGATGAACAATAATTTCGGAATTTGTATGAGAAGCATATGTTAAGTTGTAGAGATCTGGAGAAAAAATATGAAAAATTGATTACCCACCTTTGACATATTTTTACGTTTCATGCAAAAAATAAACACATCCGGTAATGAAAAAACCATTGTATACTGAAACATATGATATATTTGGATTCCGCATAGTGAGAAGGGTTCGAATCCGTCATTTTCAGTCGTCCGATTCCGATGCTTTTGACATCAATGTATTTGTTTCGATGTCAAGAAACATAATCAATCATTTTCTGTAGTCAAAAGGGCCTCATAACTCATTTTTGTTATATTAGCTGCAACAGGTCGATGTGGGTACTCATTTCAAATGATTTCATTTGTTGATTATGAAAAATATAATATCAACCACCTAATGTGGAATAACCTTAGTTTGGAGGAGAGAGATTATGAAATTCTTAAGACATGTTTTCACTATCACACTGACTCTACTTAACTGGCTAGGTTGGCGTGAAGTTGTTTGTAATTGATGGCCGGGTGAAGACCAAAAGTAAATAATAAACAATTTCGAGCTTGAAGTAATTGCGCGAAATGTCAACTTCCTGATAAAATACACGACTGCAATCGATTTGTCATTGATTGTCTGATATATTCAAAAATACCCGGAGTATTTCATATTATATTACAATGATTCACATCATTCACATCAAGTACAGGACTTGTGATGCACTGTTTGGAACCTTTGGTGTAGTAGTAAATATTACTGGAGTTTTTTCCAATACCAAACCGTTACTTTAACACTTCGACACGTATTTCGATCACCAAGTGATCATCTTCAAGAGGAAGATCAAACTAATCGTACTTACAAAGCTATCCTCATTTATACCATAGATACATGTTCGGGTATCTGCATCTTGAGTGTCTTTAATTAATTTCACAATATTGTTTTATCTACTTGTCATGAATTAATTCTTCATTTGGAAGGATCGATCGCAGCTAGAGAAATGGTTCTTATGGAGATTCTGTGAAATATGTTCTTCCTTACGAATCAATAGAGAGTTGTCCTGAAAATCTGGAGAAGAAAATTGGATTGGATAATTTAGGAAACACTTGCTGTATGAAAAGCATTTAACACGTGTTGTTCATGACGAAGAATTTCAAGAACGAGGTTTCAATGATGAACGAGAACGGGAATGTTTCCTACTCATTCATCAAACTCAAACACCTGTTCATGCAGCTACAGTTTCATAAGAATGTATCATCTTTCCCTCCAACCGATATCCTGGAGTCTTTGAAGTCCATTAGATACTCGTTAGGACAACAAGAGGATTGTTTCGAATTCTTGGGGTTCTTGTTGAATACTCTTCGTGAGCAAAAAAATAGCAAAATCAATACTCCTGACCGTTCTGGACTGAATTATTCCGTACAGTCCATCTCGTCTTGTGTTTGTAAATCTTTTGCTGGAAAAATCCTCACTTGTTTACTTTGTAGTAAATTTTCAAGAGGTAGCGAAAACTCATGTGAATTTCTGAAACTCCATCTAGCGTTTCCTAATATGATTAATAACCAGTCCGTGCAAAGGTTATTGTTAAATCATCTGAAAATGGTATTTTTAGCAGGTGATGATCGACTGTATTGCCAAACATGCGCCAAACTAACTTTTCGTTGATAATAGTCAGATCGTTACGTACATCACGTCAAATGAAAGAAGAAGAAATACAGGAGAGATCGACAGAGATAAAACAATGATGGCGCAACATGTCAGGGTGCTAAGCTACATCTTTGTTAATGATAGTTGGATCTCAACGTGCAGCACATCAAATGGAAAGAAAACGAATGTAGAATACATCGACAAAGATAAAACGAAGACGATGCCAAAAGGACACTAAGTTGTATCTTCGCTAATGATAGTTGCATCATCATATGTAGAAAATCAAATAAAAGGAAAAAGAAAGCAGAATTCATGTGTTATATGTTGTTTGTTAGCCTTCTCTATTCATACCCAAGGTAACATGGATCAATGTCAATGCTGGATCTACATCCGACAATAAGTCTCAAAACGACGAAACGAAGACTATTTAATTTCTTTGTTTCATTTCAGAATATTTCATCACCTATTTTTCTATCCATACCCAAGTTGACATGTATCAATGTGAATGCTGATTTGCTGAATCGACATCTGTAGATACGCAGTTCTTAAGACGACGAAACAAAGACTATTCATTTTCTGTGTTTCATTTTAGAATATGTAAACCCTTATTTCACTATAAATACGTCCTGCGCGGTGAAATGTGTTAGTTGTATCAGTTGAAAGTGATGTCAATGAAGAGTGAACCGATTCTATTTGAAAGTGAGTGAATTCATTCAAATGTATTTTCGAAATGAAACTTCTTTATGCGCACTTGACTGGGGAGTAAGCTGGTGAAAGCGTGACGAGAGCGTTACAAGTGTTATCGAGCGAGGCGAACGAAAATTGAGAGGGAGGTATAAGTGGAGACAGAAAGAGAGAGAGTTGCGTTTTGTTTATTACTGTAGGCACAAGAGAGAGAGAGAGAGAGAGAGAGAGAGAAAGAGATGCGAGCACACATTTGCGGTCGAGTAGCTTGGTCTTACAATCAACCACAGTAACTACTGA